TATATATATAGTAAGCTTAAAAAAAAAAACCAAAAATACACATTTAAGTATTTAAACTCCCTCTTTCTACTCAACAAGGAAACCTAAGTAAATATGAGATATACATACTCACTCTTCTCTTACCTATTATACCAAAGGAGTAAAAGGAAAGTTGTTTTCCTAAGAGGTCCATGCTCTTCTGCAGCGGGGTTTTTGGTGCCTTGACAAATCAGAAAAGGCTGTCACCACAACGGGCAAAACTTAGCTAAGCCGCCTAGGTGCTGGAGAACGTTGTATGCAGGAAGGACCCGTGCCAGGTCTGGCATACGCAACTCTCCCTTAAAGTAATTACCATCCCTTTCAAAGAGGAACGGGATTGGGACTGTAAGCAATGTCTAAACTCGTAAAGCAAAGAATATAAGGGAAAGTCTGTTCTCCCCGTCAGCTTTCTCCAATGTGCTCCCTCACATTTCCAGTATTCCACCTTACTGTAGTCACAGAAAGGCTAGTGTTAGTTACCCAAATCTTTTTATTCTAGTGGTCCCCTGGGGATCTCCTAACTGCTTTCACTGCCAACCTTCTTCGGATTATTTTAAACAGTAAATCAAATACTAGAGGACCGTGAGCAGGTTACCTTGAGAAATCCAGGTGATTTGGGGAGAATAAGACATTTGTAGAATGAAACTTTTGATATATATATGAAAGTTGTTTACTTTTTTTAAAAGATTTATATTTACTTATTTGTACAAACAAGTACTGGGGTACAGACCAAAGGTGCAGGCTAGAGGGGAGGTAAGAGAATTCACTGGAGGCAAAGTGGGGAGCAGAACAGGCAGATCTACCAAAATACACTGCCGAGGGGAGGAGGGAGAGACAGGAGATGTGTGCTGCGCCCTGTGGGTCGGCTCCCTGACCGGGGATCAAACTGAGAGACCTGATGTTCAATATCCTTAAACAAGAATATATTCTAGGTTATTTCACTCTGTAATCTTTCCCCCTCTGCTTACTTGAATTATGCAAAGTTGAAATTTTGGACAGAAAATATGTTGTGAGGTACACAGAAGCTAATTAATAAAGCTAATTTCTAAAATGAATAAAGCCCTATAGGTAACTGTAAACCCTTTTCTTCTACAAACCAAAAATAAGTATCTAAAGGTGTTATATTAGCAATGTCAATTTAAGTCCTTTCAATTACAGGTTTCCCAACTATGTGAAACTCACAGGAAAAGTGAGTGGTATTCTGAACAAAGTAGACCTCTCAAAACACATAAAATAATGTGACAATATTCTCTTTTCAGATTTGCAACTCATACAGCACTAACAAAGTACTCTACCTCTTCTGCTTGCATCATTTTGAAAACTTCCCCAAATTCAGAATTTTCTCCTGTTCCAATAACAATACCCTAAAGAAAAAAACAGGAAGATATATGTTTACACTTACATGGAATCATCTCTCTCAACCAAAAAAAATAAAATCCCTCATTCATTTTCTCTTTAGTCTTGCCCACTGTCATGTGTCATGTATATATCCAAGGTCACCTGACAGGTTTATCTCTGATGTTCATCACTATTTATGCTCTATGACTGAATGATGCTTTTCATACTTGTAGAATATTAAGATGTCACAAAGTAAAATGATGAAATGAATCAATAGGTGAATAATATGTCAAGTCAGAATATTACATATTACATATTATATTACTATAAATTAAAGTTTTGTTTATCCAGCAATGATATCCATGAGGCATGGTTTCTATTTTTAAAAAAAGCTCAGGCTCTGAGGACTACACTTTTAAAGGCTGCACTATCTCAGCAGTGACAGAACTGGGCACAGTAACTGTGGGCATATAATCTCTCAGGGACATAGCTCTTCCATGGGCTCACAGAGCTGCCAAAGGTTGGGTTCAGTTCTGTCGTTTGTCATATATTTTGAAAAAATTTTAAAAAGCAAACTTTGGTTGAATCAAAGGAACTGCTACTTTCAAAACAAGAAAAACAATGACCTTTGCTTTGCCACATCTGACCAGGGTCCCCATGAAGGCAATGTTACTTCTTGATGCAAGAGCTCCATTAGTTGCGGCCGGCTGAGGAGCAGTCACCTTTGAACAAGGTGTTGTCTCCCCTGTCAAGCTGGACTCATCAACGGAAAGATCCACAGCCTTGGGGAACAAGAAACATTCCAATGAGTTCAAGCTTGAAGACTCCGTGCTACAGTTAGCATCTATAAAGTGTGGAACTATTACTTCTTCAAATGTTCCCTTTCTACTAAGTCTCCAAATCTTTCATTCTATTCATCAGTCTAAGAAAAGGCCAGACATAAGTACAACTGTATTTTAAAAGAACAAAGTTCAACATGCAAAGTAGAATGCTATACCATGAAGCAAGATTAGCGTAAATTTCAAAATACAGCTATGGAAAAGGAGACATCATCTCAGACAATCATTATTTAAAGGAAGCACAAATCTCATGATACGCTTGATTTTAGCCAAAAGGCGGAGAAGCGATACAAATCTCATCGTAAATAGTATTTCCTAATTTTGCCATGCTCCAAAGTTCTGAAAATGTGTTTAGCAGACTAAAAACTTGCTGTGACAAGAAAAACAGATACAAATGAATAAAGGGTATGGAAGGTACTGAGAAAGAAATCATTTCATTATTTCCAGTTGAATTTTCATGAAATTCTTCTAGTTGTATTTTCCCTACATTTATCCAAAATACCTATCAGCAATAATCAGGTATGTATTTAAATGTTTCTATGCAGACCATGAGTATCATATTATCTTCCAACTCTGCAAGACTTCCATTTTGAGGGTTTTGCTCAACATAATTAAGTGTTCACCTGCCCAAACGCACAACATAATCAAGCATGCAGGGGAAACACTGTAGGTACGACCTCGCTGTTTCTGAAAGGATGGCCTGCGTGACAGCAATTCTGCGGATGCCGATGGGAATCATGTGCAGTATCACAGATGACAGCTAGACAGGCATACACACACAAAATGGGGGCATGCACATGAACTAAGACTTTAAACAGCTCCCCCAATTGCAGTGCCTCTGAGAACTTCTAATCCACTAGCATGAATGCTCAGCAGGAACAGACAGAGCAGAGGGTGTCAAAGCATGGTCTCAGCAGGACCAGCTGCCCTCTTACACCTCGCACTTGTTAGAACTCACATTCCCGTTCACAGCACCAGAGAGGGTGAATCTCCAGTGATTCGAGAGAAGCCAAGGAAAAGGTTTGCCGCACATTCTGATGCTTTTCATTCCAGAAGCACCTAACAAGGACTCTAAGTAGCTGTGTGCCATCTACAGAAATCCTCCTGAAAGGATAAAGTGTGTATTTTCCCTTTCCCTTTGAAGAGTTTTTACTTTAAACACTGTAAATATTACACAAGGATAAATACTAACATGAGGTAGTTGTCCACAGGAGTAAAGTGATTTTTTTAAAAAGAGAGGAAGAGCATGGCTTTTTTGGGGGTGCCACTGTTGAGCTCTTCAATGTCAGCCTTAGCAGAACAAAAACCATTTTAAAAAATAAGATTTAAAGTCAACACAGGCCTTTCTACAGAAAAGAGGCATGCCATTTTTAGCACAATGTTAATCAGCCTTGTCTAGCTCTAGAGAAAGGGGTGCTGGATCCTTATCTTTCTTCCTAAAAATTTGTAGAACTTTATCAAGACTATGTTACTAATGAAACTCATCTACTAAATCCTACAATGTAGGAAACTACACAGATTGTCCTCTTGTCAAACAAGAATGTTTTCTGAGTTAGAAGTTATCTCGCTTAGTGGTGGCTGCAAGTCTTCACAAGAGGCAGTCTTGAGAGGGTAAGTAAAGGAGGTCATATTTAAGGGTGATATTTTAAAACTTTGGCATATCTATTACAGTTTAATAAGTCACAATTTAATTCATCTAAAAAGAAAGTATTAGTCATTTATTCACTGTACTGAGAGAAAAATAGAATTAAATAAAAGAATCGGCCAGCTCCATGCCTTCTAGCCAAAAGTTTAGCCATTAAAACTTCAGAACCCCTAATGAATAGGGAAAGTGATTATATTTACTTTCTCTTCCTCAGGCACTCTGGTGGAGGTGTGAATAAAACACAACACAGTTCAAAAGCCAGGTTATAAATGAGAATCAAGATGCATACATAATCTCCAATTAATATTTATCACCTACAGAATAAAAAATGGTTGAAAAATAAAAAAGCAGACAGAAGAGAAAGTAAATGCTAAACCCACAAAGGTTTCCTGGCAATGAATGACATTTCAAAAAGTAAGGTTAATGTGAAATAACTGGCATTGAAATCAGTTCTTCAAACAAACAGCTTGGCGTTTTGTGCACTGCTAAGACAAACCCCTCACTAGTCTAGAATTAAAAGCAAATCTGAAACGAATTTCTTTTCCCAGAAAAGAATCTTCCAAAATATTCATCAGCAGCTGGCTAATGATGATAAAATGTCTTACATCTCTCAAAAACTAAGGTTCTTCTTACTCTTTATTAAAATGAAGGCAAATGTAATTCAAATTCTTCATGAGCTCTATCTCATTAACAATCAAACCCCAAAACAAGTGTAACAAATTACTGAAAAGGCTGCATGCAAGGAATTTTACCCATGGTAAATGTGTCCACAATTTATTAATTTTCTGACTTGCATACATAGATTGAAACTTGATCAAGGTGTGAAAAACGTAAAGGTCATCATTGGGTTAATGATTTCTGAAACAGTGCACTAATTCCACTTAAAAGGAAACAAACTTCAGAAACGGATCTACTTTTGTTAACAGTCCCTCCCTATCAACATGAAATGGGAAGCTTCAAGACACTAACTCAGGTTCACTGTCTTTTTTAGGCCCATATTGTCTTTTTTAATTCTCATGGCTCAGTGAGGAAAAAAATGTTTTCTCTTCAGCCTTTCAAACATGCATAGCATTCCTCAGTTTACAACCGCTTCTAAATCACTGACTATAAAAACCAGACATCAAAACAATAACCTCTCTTCTACTCTTCAAAGAGAACAAGTGCTCCCTAAGCCTAAGAATAGTGTGTTTTTCTAAGCTGTGTGGTCACATTACTACTGCTGAAATATGCACGTTCTACAAGGCCAACACAGTGGTAATGCATCCGTTTTTAGTGAGAGAGACTAGGAATGCTCCTCGATTCCACAAATGCACCATATAATTTCTCCAACATTCCACTCAATTTCTCAACATCTAATTTAGTCTCCACTTTTAAGATATTTACAGATTCTCTTCAATAAGTCTCTGCACTTATGTGTCATAATTAAGACACTTTTAAAAGTAAAGTGTCAGTGGTAAACTAGAGAGAAGGGCAACAACATACTATAAAATCAGTTTGTTCACCAAAAAAGAAAAGGGATTAATGGCAACATGAAGCTTACAACTCAGGAACATTTGTCACAGATCCTGGTGGAGCAAGGCACTCAAAGGATCACTGCTGGCAGAAACTGATAGAATGAACTATGGAATCAAAAAGTGCTTCATGACAAAAAAGGCAACTTAATTTCAGGAAGAAAAGGTGTGATACTTTTGTTTACTTGCCTACTGTCTCTTATTCCAGAGATGTAGCAATAGCCAAGGAGATGGCTATTGTGTTCCTGACATGGCTTACCGCTGGTCGGGGGGCTAATCTGGACCTTGTTCTTAAAATATTGTAGTTGTAGACTTTGGCTTTTCTTGTGTCTTATCTGATTAACAGACAAACACATCAAATACTTACCTATCTTAAGGGGTACTCAATTTAAAAAGATGTCATTTGTGACAACGTGAAGGTAGGGGAGGAGTGAGTGAGCTGTATAGGAGAAAATTTTTTGTTTGCTATTAATGTTGGTATCACTTCAAACTGCATAAAATTTAGGGTAGCAACTGTAATTCCCACCAAAACCAGTAAGAAAGTAAGATAAATATATAGAAAAGGGGATTGAGAAGGGAGCCAAAGTATACTTTAAAAAAACATAATAAACGGGGAGAATGGTGGAATTAAAGAACATAAAGCCTTCTCCACCAGGAAGCACTTCAAATGTAAATAGATTAAACTCACCAATTGTGTGGCACTGCCAGGCAATGGAATTATTATTTGGCAACTCAAAGTCAGGAAACACTGATACAAACTACAACATAGATGAACCTTCAAAACATAAGAAAGTAAAAAAGCCAGACAGGAAAGAGTACAGTCTACAATGCACTTAGAAGAACTGCCCAAAACCATCAAGCGGTACAGACAAAGCCAGCAGGTCAGTGATTGGCAGGGTCTGCTAAAAGGCACAGTTTCCTTATGGAAAATGAGAATGTTCCAATATTAGACTGTGATGATGGCTGCAGAACTCTATTCCCAAAAACCACTGAATAGTACTTTTTAAACATACACATCATAAGAAACGTGAATCTAATAAAGCTATTGGAAAGGGGGAAAAAAACCACTGTGTATGTGGTGAATGGACCGGAACTTTTGGCACAGACCATGAGCAATTTAGGAATGCAGAATCTCACCCCCAGACGTGACAAAACAGAATCCAAGTGATTCCTATGCAAATTAAAAATTAGGATACACCGTCCTAGAGTAACTATACCATAGTGAGAAAACCCTGAGGTCTGAAAATCCTAAGTGGCTTGCCTAAGCCCAAATAATCGATTCACTTTCTAAGCAGCCACATTTTATTATCTAAATCACAGTCGTGTGCAAGGCAACACAAGTGATACTGCAGCACTTCTGTCTCTAGCAGAAAGGTCACACACTTCCTTTTTCACTTCTTAGTTCTGAAGCTGGGTAGGGTGTTCTACATAGAGTACTCAAAACATTTCTGAGCAGCTAACATGGCTTTATAACACAGACTGATTTCCCCAGAAAGGATTATGTTTTATCTAAAGTACTTTTCGTTACCAAAATAAGTACATTTAAAGTATCACTACATGCTTATATGCCAGCAAATGTTTTAAAAGGTTCTCCTTTGAAAAAGCACAGTAAAACAAATCAGAACTTGAATTCTACCAGAATATCCAATTTTTCATTGAGTAAATGGAAAATGTGTTTAGTGACTCAGGAAGTTAGGATGCTCTGGCAAAAGAGTCCCACTAACGGAGTTTCCCAGCACAGAAGATGACATGTGCTAGTGGTTCTTAACAAAAGTGTACAAGAATGTGAGTCTCACAGATAGGGACATAAAGACTGAGTGAAATTCTTTCCAAATACTATTAATAATTGAAATAAAAACCCTCAGGGAAAAAACCCAAACTTGAAAATAGACCTATAGCTCATTTCTTCTAAGAGGTCCCTGCTCCAACTGCACTCAGCCTCCTGAGCAGGGAAGGCTACTGCCACCGAACCTAGTAGCCTACTAACACCGACGGTCAATGGGCTGCTGTGACCTCTTAAACTAAGGGCCTAACTCCATTTTCCGTCCCTACAACTAGGTAAACAGCCTTAGCAAGCTGCAGAAAACCTTTGAAAGTAATTTTTTTTTTTTTTAAGATTTATTTATTTGTGCATACAGAACTGGGGTATAGGCCAGAGGCTCAGGGGCAGTGAGAGGCTTCACCAGAGACAGAGCGGGGAACAGAACAGGCAGATCGACGAAGTACACTGCTGAGGGGAGCAGCGGGCGGGCCAGGAGAGGTCTGCCACGCCATGTGGTCACAAACGGGGCAGGCGGGAACTGAACTCATGCGGAAGCGGCTTTAGATTCTCAGTGCTGTGCTTTAACCCGCTGCGCCACCAGGGAGGGCCTGAAAGTAATTCTTAACCAATGAAATCTTAAGTGTAGCTTCAGAACCAAGGCCCTTATGAATCCGATTCCACCTCACATTTTCTACTCTTAACATGCCCTGCCCCACAGATCACATGCCAGAACAGTCACAGTGATCGAAACACTGCTGCCGTTTCATTTGCAGCATCTCTGCCCAGCACTACTCTTCAGTTACCTTCCATCACCACCACTCCCCTCTCTAGCTTTTCACACTCCATTCTTCGTACTTTTCTCCCTTACTAAGTCCGACCTCACTTTATGGTGTGAACATACACAGCAGCCCACCGACCACTATTCCATCACATCACCTTCGTATGTCCCACCACGCTAACGCATTTCCATGAGGATGTGTTGAGTAAGACTCCTTGAAAGAGTTCGTAGGAAAGATATAACCCAAGGGAAAAACATGTTTATATTCATCACTCAAATCAAGTATGTGTTAATACTTAAAATTGCTAATGGTTGTCTTTTACTCTCCATCTGAGTATTTCCCCCACTCACATACAGAACCAAATGTTATCATCTGAATGGCAGTTTTGCCAGTCCCAAGCTAAGTCTGTTGAAATTTTAACCCCCAAAATGACAATAATAGGAGGCAGGCCCTCATAGAGGTGCTCTGTTCCTGACGGTACAGTCATGTACCATGTAGTATTTGTCTTCTTAAAAATGAGAGCTCCCCTAGTTCTTTCCTCCAGTGCAGACACAGAAAGAAGGTAGCAACTATAAACCAGAGCAGGCCCTTACCAGAATGCAACAATGCTGGCACCTTGATCTTGAACTTCTCAGAATCTAAGACTGTCAGCAATTAATTTTCATTGTATCTAAGCTACCCAGTCTATAGTATTTTGTTAGTCATCCAAAAAGACTAAGACAACAACCTTACCTCAAACAAGCGTAAGTCGGCAGGAACTCTGTCCCCAACAGAAAGGTAAACTGTGTCACCTGGAACCAAATCTCGTGCAAGTGTATGTTCCAACTTTCCTTCACGCACACTGTAACATGAAACAGACACGACCATGGCTGAGAAAGGGAAGCTATGCCACTTATGTAAAGCAATTCTTTCCAGGAGGTTTGTGTGGGGAAAATATAGAAGTAGCATTTCTAAGGGAGGTAAGTCATATATAAGAACCAAGGAAAGGATTATTTTTGTGTTCATGATAATTAAGATGCTCAAATGACATAGAAATATTAAAAACTGGTTAATCAGCTATAAAACGAGAAAACTAAAGCAACCTTCTGAATCATTTGGGTCTGTTTGTGCATCCTATGCTTAACATTGCCACACACAGAAATATCTTTTGACTGAATCCATGACTCAAGATTCTCAAGCTCAGAACTTGGGAGTTTTAGTAGCACATTTATCTACACTAAACAGAGCATGAATTCCATGCCAGATTAATAGCTTCTACCTTATGTGTAACAAATCTGGGGCTATATAATATATTACATTATAGTTTTATTCAATTTCTATTCCCAAGAGCAGAAATCTACATCAGAAACAGGGTCATACCAATGGCATTCTGGTGGTACAAGTTTACTCAATTCTTCAAGAGATTTTTCTGAACGATATTCCTGTTAAAAAACAAAAACCAGAACAAACTATTGAGAAAAACATTTATAAAGAAATGCAAGTATGTATGATACTATGAACATAATGCAAGTTAAGACTTAAATGTTAATCTCAATCATTATTTAAAATTTCCTCCATTCTAGTCTTATCTTCTTATCCTTTATTTGTACTTATTCTTAACCATGTAAGTTTGTCCCTTATTATATAACATTACAGCAACTATTTTGTGACTGAATATTCTCAATTTTACATTTCAATATTCAATGTGCAAGCCTAGACATGGAGAAAAATGGTCAGTTTGTCCAAAGAAGTTATGATTTTAAGTCATTAAAAGTTCAGGTCATTCCTAAAATGAGTCCAAAAACAGAACAGCTAAAAAGACACTTCTCCAAAGGGGAAATGCAGATGGCCAACAAGCATATGAAAAAATGTTCAACATCACTTGTAATAAGGGAGATGCAAATTAAAACCACAATGAGATACCACCTCACTCCAGTGAGAGTGGCATATCTTCAAACAACTAGTAACAGCAAATGTTGGCGAGGATGTGGACAAAAAGGAACTCTCCTGCACTGCTGGTGGGAATGCAAACTAGTACAACCACTATGGAAAATTGTTTGTAGGTTTCTCAAACTGCTAAACATGGAACTTCCCTACGACCCAGCAATCCCACTCCTAGGTATCTACCCAAAAGACACAAAAACACTGATTCAATAAGATACCTGCACCCCTATGTTTATTGCTCCTTTATTCACAGTTGGAAAGACTTGGAAACAGCCCAAATGCCCAAAAGCCCAAAAATGGATGACTGGATTAAAAAGATGTGGTACATATACACAATGGAATATTACTCAGCAGTCAAAAAAGAAACACATGTCTTTTGCAGCAACATGGATGCAGCTGGAAAAAATCATGCTTAGTGAAATAAGCCAGAAAGAAAAGGAAAAATACCAGATGGTTTCTCTCATAGCAGGAATATAACGGAACAGGCAAGAAAATAATGATAATGATGAACAGCTATATACCAGAGACATTTTGTGGGAGTGGCATGGGGAATGGGATCAAAAACAGTGGGGGGAGGGAAATGCACTGGACTATGGTGATGGCACATGGGTGATTTGGTGATGGGAAACCCAAGGGGATTGCAACTGAGATGGAAAAATACACCAAAATATGTAAAAATAAACTATTATAAAATAAACTGAGAATTTAGTTTAATAGCCAAAAAAAGTCAAAAAATTAATTGCAAGCAACATCTATTTTGAAGATTTAAGCCCATGCTAAATGCAATGCTTTATAAAGCCAGTTTTCTTGGAAAGAACACACATTAAGCAAGGAGTCAGATGTGACCATCCTACCTTGACAGATACCACCCCCACCAGCCTGATTATTCACAAAGGGAAACTCTCAGGAGCCCTCACTCTGCAATGCGCCAGCCTTCTTCAAAGCACAAAGCCAACAGCTGAGAGCCAGCCTTGCTCTCACTATGCTATTTAAACCGCATGCCCATGAGTAGCATCATCACGTCACCACCATTTTAGTCTCATGTGTGCACCAATCACACCAAAGACTTATTGACTTAAGGTTAAAAAGGAAAAAGGGGAGTGGCTGGTGTAAGTGAAAGTTGAGGACTGTTTTGAAATGACGGCAGTAATAATATTAGTCAAAATTCCACATTTACCACAAATTTTCATTAAATTCTGCTGACAAAAAATAGGATCTTTTTAGAAAATAGTTGCTGTTTATAAAATCCTTCATTGGTTTCATAGGTATATTTACAAAAAGGGGTATCACATCTGTATTAAGAAGCCACACCTACCAACCTGAATCTGGACTTTCCATAAATGTTTTGATTCTATCTTGAGTTTTCCATCAAATGAACCTATCATAAAGATATTTAGCAGACAGTCTCAACCATCTCATTTAAAGTACATTAACACTCTATCTTTGCATTAATTTTCACATTGACTACATTAAAATCAAAATTTTATAAAGTTGTTTAAGATCTAAGGACTTGCTACCAAAAGAGTAAGATACAATGTTCTCCATACACAGTAATAACACAGCAGGAATCCTCTGAAGAAAAGTTACTCTATACCATCTTCAACATTAATAAAAATGCAAGAGAATTCCAGTCTACCAAAGTGGGTCATATCAAATAATAACTGCCTTGACTAAAGTCTGGAGTGACCTCTCCTGGGATAACCTGGGGTAACCAGTTCTACCTACCATGGTGCAACTTTTGTCTGCCCTAACTCAGGAATTCCTAGAAATGGGATCTAGCCAATCTACTAATGGAGATCACAAACTTGCTGCAGATAACGGATTCCTACTTTTTTTCTATATACTGGGTTATTATAAAATTATTAACTAAATTAGAGATATCACATGAGGCCTATATAATGACAAGAAAATTCCCAGGAAAGAAATTATAGCTGTAGAAACAACCACAATCACTTAAAATATTGTTGTAAGATTCAAAATCACATGAACTTCAGGATCAAACACATACCCTTTTTCCCAAAACTAAAAGTCCTGACATTATCTCCACATTTGACATCAAATGTTGAGAGGTGTTCCTTCTCCTAGATTTTATTTACTGTCTGACTGCTTACGTGAGTAGGGAGTTTGACCCAGATCAGAAAGAACATTCTTTCTGTCAAAAGGTAAAGAATTTAAACTCTGACTCAATTTTTTTAATTGGGAAAAAATTGAAAAACCTACAGCTGTATTTTATTTTTACTACTATGCATTTTGTTTCCACCTGCTTCAGTTATCTTTAACATCATCAAAAGAAACGTGGATTTTCTTCATGCTACTACCTGCATCAAAGTAGTCAAGTTAGTCCCACAAAATCCCCTGGAGTACTGTCAGTATCTGACATCATTTCATAAACAAAGAATAAACTCTTCTGACAAGCATTAACGTCACTCCAAACCTATAGCTCTTGCCATAAGCCACCTGAGTTTGTTCAGAAAGTAACTAAACTATCATTTTTGTGCTGGCAAAATTGGCTCCCTACTCACCTGAACAAAGGCAACTGTGACGACGATAAGTATTGCCTAAACAAAGAAAGAAACAATCTTTTAAAATCAGACATTATAACTTCAGAAATAAGTTTATAACTTCAGAAATTGTTTTTCTGACAATCAGGAGTCCTGAGATACCAAATACTAGCAGCACTGAGGTGGACTAGGGAGAAATCACCACTTTGCTTTAGGCTTGTGGGGAGCAAAAAGTTTGCCTCCCCACACAGCAGCTCAAGATCTTTGGAACCCAGGAACCCTTCAGGCTCTTACAAACTGTGGAGATTAGTTTCTGTAGGTAAATTCTATGATATTTAACACGGTGAATACTTCAGTTATTTGGTTTTAATTTCTACTCATTAATTCATCTAAAAATAATAAACCTATTACACACTAACATGTAACTTTTTGATGTAAAATTACGAGGAAAGTGGTTATGTTTTAAGTTTTTTCTCTCTTTAATATCTACCTTAGTAAAGCCAGGTTCTCTTACCAGTTTCTACATTCATTCCATCATAATATGTTGTTTAGGCCAAAGAATTTAAAGAAAATCCAGCCTCATATTGTTTAAAAAAAAAAAAAAAGGCATGATTTAATACCTTTTTCAGATTATTGTGGATATTTCTCTTCTCTACTGCATCAAAATTTGACAAGTGTTACTTAAAAGTAATATGCAATACAGTATCAAAGACTATCAATGAATACTCCATAATCTATTATATTATCCATTAATGTAGCTTGCATCTTGAACAGGTCTACCACTGATAAACTTTATAATATCATGCTCTGGTCACTTGAAACATGCCGATTATTCAATTCTCATCTGTTGACACACTTCATTACAGTGAGTAATAAAAAAACCACGTTATTTGAAATCACTACAGATCTCATTAGAGTGAAGTATTAAATTCAGGGCAGCTACACAGAAACACAGATATGTATAAAATATTGCTAACATTCTACTTGTCATTTAAAAGGTTAAATTTTTATCATTGGCAACAAATTCTGTCAGTACTTTTTCTGAAGTGACAGGCTCACTTTACTCACTTATAAATTAGCATGTTTATTAGCCACGTCTTAATATCCACCAACTGTTTATATTCTTTCAAGGAAAAGCCTAGCTCGGCTCACAACAATCACTTCTCTTGAGTCAATATACAAAGGTCTTTTATACACACTTCCCATTTCATTAAACAAGCTGTTATAAAAGTATGTACTCAGAGATCAAGTAAATAAAATTAATTTTTAACTGTTTTATCAAAAACATTCCTAAGACACACAATATGAAAGAAAACAATGACTACTTGAGCACAGTTTGGTGCTATTGTTCTGATTAAAGTCAAGGCTCTAACAGTTCTACCTGCCATTGTACTTGTACCATTGATGCAAATGTCTACAGTGAAAACACAAGTAATGTTTTAGTTAACAGGAAAGGAGGTTTGACCTCACATGCTCCCTGACAGGGTCTCAGAAACCTGTATGTCAGTAAACAAGAGTTCAGGAACTACAATCCCTACAGTAATTCTACTAAACCTTAAGTATGACACATTTACTATTCCCAATATTTACAGTTCCTACAACTTTTTATAGTACAATGAAGCAGGGGAGCACAGGAAAGAAAGATGAGGAAACTTTCAGTGAAGGTTAGGACAACTCAACTGGAAAAAATAAATTCTTAAATAGTAAATATGGTATGCATTATGACATAACAATTTTAATTTCAAGAGTGTCTAGTTTCAGTTCACAATGAATGAAAACATTCTAAATTGGAAAACAAAATAAAATGAAAATTTAACTGGAAAATTACAAAATATTTTATATCTGTGAAATTAAATTGCTAAATAATTCTCATGTGCATCAATCATAGGATCTTGAGATGACTGCAACTAAAAGGAAAATTTTAATATTAACAAAGAAACCTGAAGAGACATTAAGGTGTCTCAATTTACTTTCCAAAAATAAAAGCCAATCCAATTCATATGATTGATTAACAGCTTAAAATATATATGTGTATATATATATTTTCTTACCACAGTAATGCTGACAGCATCATCAAATTGATGCATTAAAACACTGATGACTGCAGAAGCCAGAAGCAGCATGATAAGGGGATTTTTAAACTGAAAGTGAAAACAAACACCAATTCAACAGTTTTATATGAATGACAGTACTGTTCCATCATAGCATGAGCCTTAAGGAAAAATAACCTATTGGCATATGATTAGAAAATTCTGAGAGTCTAGATTTGATTTTATAAGTCTCTTCAATTAACAACAACAAAAAAAGTGTTAACTACAGTTAAAATTCACCATTTCTTAATAGCCCATTTTCAGGGGAAAAACTAATTTTTAACTCTTAAAACTGAGACTGTATCAATCCCTTAAAGCACACAGGTATTTTGGTATATTAGTTTTATAGACACAGTTCTGAATTTCTGAGGCTAGATAGCAAGTAATGATTTTTAAGCGAAATACTAGGTTAAACAGTGAGTAGTTATGAGAGTCAATATTCCTCAACATCCCTATACTAACGTAAATTAGTACAGGCTGTAGTTCTGTGGTTAACCTGCTCATCACAGGAGTAACTCCCATGACAACCAGGAACAGATAGTGTCATCCTTCCAGAAGCTGAAGATACTCTTCACACTGTTTTTCCTGATGTCTATTTAGCAGAGGCAAAGGTATCTAAAGAAATAGGACCAGAGCACCAGCCCAATCAGGCAGCACTTAAATGACCAAGCACTAAGGAAACCCAAATGCTTCCAACTGGACAGTCTACCCTTTAGCCATCGGAGCTCTGCTGCCCCAAACTCCTCCTGTGATGACGCAGTGCCAACTGCTATCAAAGGTGCAGAGTAACTGAACTGGGCAACAAAGAAGTCATCCCACACAGTCCTGGCCCTGAGACACCACGGTGCTACCAACTTCCCATGCCCTCTATGGTGCCAACCCCAGTGGCGCCAACTGTTTCCCATCAGAATCACTTGAAAAGGATATATTATAAAATACATCCAATGAAAACAGCATGGAGTCAAGGTTCTTTTAATATCTAAAGTATCAGGTTTTTCTATTTTAGACAAACATCTTTGCAAAATTAAGACCAGTAACTTTTGGGTTCATTAACAGCAATGGCCCTTTAGAAAAATTAAACACAAATCTGTCAAAAATAAAGAGCCTTCAGGTTAGGTTAGAAGGCATTAGAACTTTTCTTTACTAAAAATAATTTGTTTGCAAACTAACCCTTCTAGCTGAAAGTTGGCCACAAGATTCTTAGTTGAATAAATACTAACGTACTTGTTATCAAGATAAGGAAAAAAATCCCACAGCCTTAGGAAACTGATATAATATATAATAAAAATTGCCATCATCTATTAATAGTTTAACCTCATGCAACAGATAAGCTTCAGAGAATAACGATCATAAAATCGTATTACCTAATTTACTTTCACTAATTTCCTAAACTGGTAGCATCATTTTTTAAAATACTAGCATTCCTAAAAATAAAAAGTGTGACAGGCATGTGCGAAAGAAACTGTTAACGTTAAGCTATATGAAGCACCACCTTCATGTGGTATGTCCATAAGCCCTCAAAGATTCACACACTAAAAGTGACAGACATTCCAGTGCAACAGTAAATCCTAACAGAAAAATTTCTGTTAAAAAAAATTTAAAGATTGTTTTCTTTTTCTGTAAGTAAGCAACTACACTAACAAAAATACATGTAAAACTACACAGCCGAAGAGGAAATAAAGCTGTCTCACCTGAGAAATGTACTTCTTCCATAGTGGTTCACCCTCGCTGATGTCAAACTCATTCCAGCCATGGAAGGCTCGCCTGTGGCTGACCTCACTTTTGTTCAGACCATTTTGAAGATCGGCCTATTCAAAGTTTACATGCAAAAATAAATAAAAATGTTAACAGAAAGCAAAAGAAGAAAAACAGGATGATCCTATGAACTTCTACAACAATCAAAACTAACCCTAAGTGACAGCCTACCCAGAAGTTGCCTAGAACCAGGGAAAACCTGCAAAAGGATATCTCACATTTCAAAATGGAAAATGTGAACTTAATATGGGCACAATGTGTTTATGTAAATTATACCTCAGTACAATGATGTTGTCTTTTTTAAATGTAAGTTAATCAAACAGTGCTTAATAAACCAACTGTAATTTTTTCTGGGTCAAAAGTAACAAACTAGTCACAGGACTGGCTGAGAAAGAAAGTATCAGTATATTTTAAGTAGCTTTCTTTGTTTTCCAAAATTTGTTTCTCCAAAAGAAAATCTAATGGGCCATAATGGTCTTCCCTGTTCTTACCTATCAAACCCTGAGGCTGGTATAAAGTTCGTTTTTCAATTACACAATTATTTCAGGTAGAAAAATTATGGTTCCTTAATTCAAAATAATGTCATTAGATGAACTCGTTCTTAGGACATTTTATGTTCTATGCACACCACCTACACCCCTTAGTCACTGTAACTCACGATAACGTTTACAATTATTAGTAAACAATGAAATTACCTGCATACCTAAAACAGTTTTTCTTGCCAAAAGCTTTTATTAATAGAGTTTAGTAAGAGAGTTTTGTAACACTTTAAAATATTTTTTAAATTAATGGCTTTAAAACTGAGTATAAAAACAACAGCCTCCCTCAAGCTGATCCAGTTCCCCTCACACAGTACCAAGAGTCCCTGACAATGCCACTGACCAGCACCGCGATGTCCAGTCAAGTAACATCCCGTCGTGGCCATGTGCAGTTACAACAGCAAACTAAATTCAGCTCCTCCCCTATCTTACCCACACTTCAAGCCACACAGTCCTGTTAATGGGGGGAGGGGGGGAGTGAGGGAGGGCAGGAGACCTGGCAGGAGAGGCAACAGGAGGTGACTGGCTAGCACCATCTGCAGAGCCTCAGTGCCTGAAGCTGGCGCCAGGCCCTACCTCCCCCACTGAGCGCTTACTTGTAGAATGCTGGCAACTTCACTGACTGGTAATTCGCTTGCTTTTTTTGATGTCAATACAGGAATCATTGTCTCATTTTCACCATTAGGTATTTTTTGAAAACGTGCAACCTAAGAAATTAAACAAAAGGAAACATATTGAATATACCAGGTGATTATAACGCACTGTCAAATGAATGATAATATAAATGTTCACAGCAACTTAGTTTCCAGTTAGAAAACAAGTATTTTAAAGACTAATGAATATCTAGCTGTAGTATAATTTTCTACTAACCATGTGCTACTTTTCCAGAAAGCCCATTTAAAACACTTTAAAATACTGTTTCTATACCAACATTATCAGTAAAAAAAAAAAAGACAAATGTCCTGCCTAGCAAATCTTGATGATTCCATCTAGTCATAGTCCTCTAAACTCAGTATGTTTAATCCAAGAGACAAGGAATAACTAGGCTTTCTCCTTTTAACTACTGCTCATTTCTTAACTTCCCAGAAAGGGCACTTTGCTATTCACTCCACCAAACCACCATGACAGCCACTCAGACTTAATCAGATCCATTCCCAAACTAGATGAACAACAAAACCTGGGAGACCGGACAAATAGAATGCACAGGTTGAGAAAGAAGCCAATGAACAAGTAAAGGCAGAAACGGTTTGGTAACCAGGGTATGTACTTAATATACAAGTCAATATCTACAGAAAACTGTTTAACACGATTCTAGAAATAACTCTCCAATTCAAACTTGTTGGGTCCTGAAATTATTTATAGACAAAAGATCCGCATTACTAAAACTTTTACAAAAGAAAACACTTCAGTTGTTACACATGCACTGATTAAAATAATACTGAAAGTGAAATGAACATCTTCCTGCCAAGATACAAGTCTTTAAGCTTTCAGGTGAAATGTTTCCAACAATGGGTAATCAACAATTTTAGGATAATATATTTCCCTAAAATTGCTTGAGGCAATACTTAAAGCAACAAAGGAGATCCAAGAAAAACAATCTACATTTCTTTATTATTAAAGTGTCATTAAAGAGGCCTGTGTGCATCAAAAAATCTTCATTCTTATTCAAAAAATGGTAAATAGCTGTGAAAGAAAAAAAAAGTGTTCCCTCAGTGTGACTGGGTTTTGGAACAATCAAATACGCAGAACTCTCAGAAAACACAGCTGTGCCACAGACATACCTTCACTAAAGAGAAGTGCACTGCCCCTGCTCTACCCAGACGCAGGCCCCTGGCTACATGCAGAGTGTGTATGAGCTGGAACTAGCAGCCGGCCGAGTGGCCAGGCCACCTGGATAACACTAAGGCCGGCAGAATCGCCACTCTGTTTTTCCAGTTTTGACTTGCATACACGGGCTTGGGCGAGATGCAGAGAGAAGAGACTTGTAGAGACACCTGAAGAGACATGTGGCTGAGACACATGCAGATGCTGCTCTCCTGGTTTTTTCCAGACTGTGGAAGTCACTGTCTCACTTTTTGGTAGATAGATTACATAGTATAGTTTGAGTTCTGAGTCTCTCCTTTATCCCAGCTCTCTAAGCCCTGCATTACCCCTGGCTGTGGTTCTCTGCCAAGGTGTGGGGCACAGAATTGTAGAAATGGAGCTAAACATGACAGGGCAGGATGATGACTTAAATTCAAGAACTACGTATCAAGAACTACACCAGATTTCTAGTTTCTTTTATATGCTAAGAAGCAAAGCCGGTCAGTGTGGTATTAAGTACTGAAGACTCTTCAACAACAGGTACTATATAGCAACTGACATCCACACATCCATGTGAAACTGTCTCTCACCAACACCATACACAGTAAGCTCAAAATGATCAAACACAAATACAAGAACTTAACAGACTCTTAAATGAAAACAAGCCCCTTAGGCTGAACCGTAAGATAAATATATTCTCACAGGACTCAATTATTTCTATTTCTTGGGGAACTCAAGAACGCAGATTCCAAAAACAAAATCACAGTAAGATACCACTAGGTTAGCTGAAATCCAAACCTACAAACGTGTTAGAGAATATAAAGAAACTGGGACCCTCTTACATTGCTGGTGGAATTGTTGAAGGTACCACCACTAAAAAACATACAAGCATTATGAAAAAGTTTAGCAGCTGTTACATATTACTGTGCAAACATGACCTTTTCTAGCTAAATGAAGACAATGTCTTCAGCTCAAAACATATTGAGTGATTTAATAATGATTTGTTGAAAATTAATGAAATACAAGTAAATTCACATAAGTTAGTTGAAGATATCCACCCACCTTAATCATCTGAGGGTAACCCGTCTCCAAAGATGTTACATCTTGCGCATGTTATTAAAAAAGTTAATTATCTATGGTCTCAACCATTAGATATTATTACTTACACCCTGACCATATCTTAATCTCTTCATGTTGCTTCACCTTCATTTTGACTAACAGCATTTATTAGACCTATTCTTTGCATTATTTAATTCATGTACCAATACATAACTTACTAAATAATAACCACCCCCACACATGCACACGAATAATCAGAGACCACAGTCTATACACTGCAGTTGGAGATTGTCATACCAAACAGTTGCCATAAGAGTGTCAAATTACCACAGAAGCAAGTAAATCTGAAAACTCAAGAAAGACCACTGCAGTCTTTGGTATTTTGAGAAAAGTTACTTGTGCAAAGTCTTGAAGAATGGATGACAAAGAATGCCATGGAAGTGTTCCAAGTGAGAGATGAAAACCAGTAAGAGCCACAGCTATGAAAATCAAGTTTGCATGTTATCTAGGCCAATGTGGCCAAAATGAAGTAACTGTTGTTGGTTTTCTTTTTTAAAGATTTATTTCTTATGTGTACAGGTCAGAGGTGCAGGGGCATTGAGAGGATGCACCAGAGACAGAGTGGGGAGCAGAACAGGCAGATCGACAAAGTACACTGCTGAGGGGAGCAGCGGGCGAGAAAGGAGAGATCTGCTGTACCATGTGGGTCATCTCCAGGACTAGGGATCTAACTGGCACAGAAGTGGCTACGGCTAGCTTGCAATGCTGCACTTTAACCTGCTGCACCACCAGGGAAGGCCTGAGTAACTTTTATTATGTAATTCTAGCTCTAGTAAACTATCCCTATCTATCTAGATAGTAAAACAAGCTGTAGTGTTTTTTAACTGCATGCCATGTAAAGGCTGCAGAAACATTTAGATCTTTAGGATGAATGATTTAAATATGGACTGTGATATAAATCTGAGGACCTATTACAGACCCACTGAACCCAAATTTGCATCTTACCAGCATTCCCACATGAATGTAGCTATGCACTACTACACATCCATTTCCAATACACACCAGGATTGCTAGCAGATAGCTATGAACGGAACTGTTATACCCACACACTCCTCCCCAAATTTTGTTATGTTGAAGTTCTAGCCCCCAGTGTGCCTGTATTTCACCAGGGGCTCTCAGCAGATCATCAGGCCATGAGCACCTTCCGTCAGGGTGGAAGCACTCCCCTTATAAGACGCCTGGGAGCTTGTGGGGTGCACATGTAGCCTCAGGGGCTGTCCCTGGCTGGCCCCCGTGTCTCAACATGCGGACGCACAGCACAAAGAGACTCAACTACATGCCAGAAGACGCCCTCGCCAGGAAGTGAACTGGACAATGCCTTGACTGACTGCAGTCTCCAGAACTGTTGAGTGACAAATGTCAGTGACTAAGTCACTCAGCCCCAATAGAATTCTGTTAAAGCAGTCAGAAGAGTGAAGACTGAAAGAAGATGAGGGTCTGCTTTTTTGATTTTAATCCACGTGTCCAGGCAAGTTCTCTGAGAAGTGTGGAATTAATAGCTGTGGGTGGTGACAAAACATTTATTTTTAATTCTCCAGGGTGGGTTCTAATGTGAAACCAAAGTTGCTATTCCAAGTTGGTCTAGAGGATGCAGCTGAAAGGCATAGTTACACTAGACTCAAATAGCAGAGTATTTTACTCTGAAAAGGTAAATACATCTAAAATGAGTTACCACCATATTAAAATCCATCCCTGGGGGAAAATTAGTTTTATATATGCTGTGACTTTATTCAGTGCATGGATAGAAACTTGGTTTTAAAAAGCAAGTCAGCAAAGGTAGCCCAAATTACCCAACAGAAGTCAAGTCACGGGGAAAAGTTGAAAATACTTTACCGCTGCAAAGTTCAAGAGTATTAAAGAAGGGTTATTAAAAGTTTTCAGGTCAAGTCTTGCCAACAAAAGTTTTCTGAGTTTCATTTGCAAGTAATCAGAAAGACACCCACTGCCCCAGAAAATCAATGTGCTGGGCATTAAAGCTGAAAGAACCAGCTGCCTCTCCTCATTTACACTGACATGGGAAGGGAGGGTTGGCCTGGCAACCAAAAGTCAAAGCCTACATTGCCATTCTACAGCTGTGAAGAAGGCACACACAGGCAGAAGAAAACAACAGTGACAGCATCCAGAACAAGGCAACACTAACAGCAGCAGTTCCCAATGCGGAACTGTGGCTCGCGCCGATTTACAGTAACTAAGCAGACCTGCTCAGTTTGAGAAGCAAGTGCCTGTCAGTGAGAGCCAACAGGGAGTGGCTCTAAATAATCCCACCTAGACATGGGCGTTACTTATGAGCATGAAACAGGCCAGGTAGAAGGCCGACTGTGCCATTCTGGCACCGACCTGTACATCGTATTTGTGGAAAAGCCTATCTTTGGTCCCAAAGATGCTGAATGACTGCAAGTTTCTTTAATTAATCTTTTGATTGAGAACAAGCCGTTGAGTATTTTTCTGGAATGCTAAATAATTGATTTACAACTGCTCTACGGTTGTGGGGAGAAGATAGGGTGCGGCCAGGAGCATGGAGTGAAAGAATCCACCAGAGACAGAGCGGAGAACAGAACAGGTGGACTGAAGGCATCCACTGCTGAGACAAGCTGCAGGAGACAGAAGTCTGTGTGCTAAGTAGCTTTTGAAGCTCTCTTGTATCCTGTTTTCTCAGGCTTTCTAACTTGGGGTGCCAGTTTGCACCAGTTATCTGCTGGGTGCCTGGACTCCAGCGCTGGAGTTGGACACAGAAACATGCTGGTTTCAGTCAAGTGGCTGTTTCTATCACCTTGCTTCTCAAGGC